CGTTGGCTCGAACTTGTTAAGGATTACGACTGCTCTATTCAGTATCATCCGGGAAAAGTGAACGTCGTCGCGGATGCCCTAAGCCGAAAGGTGAAGGGTGACTTGACGTATGTCATTACTCAACAGAGTCCGTTGATCCAGGAGTTTGCCCGGATGCAGCTTCAGGCGATCGATGCACTTCCCTTAGCCGTTTTGGGGAGTACCAGTGCCAGTATCAGCGCCATGCAGCTGCAGCCGACGCTGAGAGAAAGAATCCGGTGAGAGCAGGCTTCTGACGAGTTTGTTCGTGTCATGGAGGCCAAGGTTCGCGCCGGAGGTGTCGAGGGTTTCAGCTAGGTGTCAATGGTGCCCTAGAGTTCAGAGGCAGGATCGTGGTCCCGAAGGTCGAGGCGTTGCGGAAGGAGATTTTATCAGAGGCTCATACCGCACCCTATCTAGCCCATCCCGGGAGCACAAAGATGTATCACGACCTGAAAGGGTCGTTCTGGTGGCGAGGCATGAAGAAGGACGTCGCCGAGTTCGTCAGGAGATGTCTTACCTGTCAGCAAGTCAAAGCCGAACATCAGAGTCCGATCGGCCTCCTGCAGCCACTACCGATTCCGAGGTGGAAGTGGGAGGAAGTAACGATGGATTTCGTTACGGGATTATCGAGGTCGTCTGAGCATCACAACGCTATCTGGGTCGTGGTCGACAGATTGACTAAGGTCGCTCATTTCTTACCCGTTTCGATGAAGATGTCTCTGGACAAGTTGGCTGAGATATACACCCGTGGGATCATCCGACTGCACGGAGTGCCCGTCACTATTGTATCAGACAGAGATCCCAGATTCATCAGTCGATTCTGGAACAGTTTACATGAGGCGATGGGCACGAAGCTAGAGTTTAGTTCAGCCTACCATCCGGAGACGGACGGTCAGTCAGAGAGGACTATTCAGACGCTTGAGGATATGCTTCGCGCTTTGGTTGTTGACAGGGGTGCCAAGTGGGAGTCGTTGTTGCCGTACGCCGAGTTCGCGTATAACAACAGCTATCATTCTTCCATTCAGATGGCTCCTTATGAAGCACTTTATGGTCGCAAGTGTCGTTCCCCTCTCTATTGGGACGACATCAGAGAGCGGCGAGTACTCGGTCCTAAGATGATCGAGGAGACAACGGAGCAGGTCTAGTTGATCCGGCAGAGACTCAGGACAGCTCAGAGTCGACAGAAATCTTCCGCCGATCATCATCGACGAGACATTCAGTTTGAGGTTGGTGAGCCAGTCTTTCTCAGAGTTCGTCCGATTCGC